TTTTTTTTTTTTTTTTTTTTTTTTTTTTAAATCAGCCTTTCTGCACTTCTGCCCTGCTTCTGGGGAAGCAGAACTTTGTCCCCCTGCCCTGTCAGCCGCAGCCCGTGGGGCACAGGCCGGGGTGTCCGGGGTGCCCGGGCCCTTGGCCAGCCCCACGGCTTCGCCCGCGCTGGAGCCGAAGCCATCTTGTGCCGAGGGAGCGCGGGGGGGGCGCTGCTGGAAATGGCTGCGGGAGGCTGCTTCTGCTTTTCCTGGCATCCAGCCTAGAAACCGTCATGGCAGTCGCTGGAGAACTGGTGCTGAGTGGCTGGTGTTCCCTCATCCTGCGTCAGCGCGGGAGGAGGAGCCCCACAAACCCTGCCTGGGCCTGGGGCAGCAGGGGGGGCTGAGCGGGTCCCTAGCGCCGTGTCTGCTGCGTTCCAGCTGCAGTTCCTTGTGCGTTAGTGGATTTTCTAAGCCTTGCTGCTCTGGACGGCAGTGCTGCGTGGCAGGTATCTGAACGATAGCAGACGAACTGTTCTGAACGGCTCTTCCTCGTGGCAGCTCGGCGCTCTGGTTCTAACCCGAAGGGACGGGCTGAGATAAGGCGCCGCGTTTCTCTGGGGAGAGCTGTCTCGTGTTAATAACCCCAGACTGCACTGAGAGATGCTGCTCAGAGCCGCTGGGAGCTGGAGGCTGCAGTTCAGCCACGAGCTGGCGTTTCGCCTTGCCAGGCTGCTTCTAAAGCTGAGTTAAAAAATTGTCTGGAAATGCGTTGGGGAGACGCGTGTCGCTGGAGCAGCAGATCCCAGCTGGGCCTCGGCAGCAGGCGCGTGGGTCGCTGCCGCCGCGCGGAGCCGGGCAGGGCGCTCGCTGGGGAGCTGCAGCTCCTGGTGAAGTCGTGGTTTCCCTACACACACGTTCCAAACTTGTAAAACTCTAATAGACGTTCTCTAAGAGAAAATCTGCTCATGCTTAAGAGCCTGAAAAGCAACTTTAAGGCAGTTATTTCAGACTGCAGGTAACCTGTTCCAGTTATTTGGGGTTTGTTGGATTTTGGTTATCGCGGCGGAGAGGAAGGCACCCGCAGCTGTTCAGCAGAACACGCTGTTGACATTCCTTTTTGGTTCTGAGCACAAAATCGGGATGTTTCTGATGGTAGGTGTTCCTGTTTTTAGAAGGAGGGAGGGAGGGTCAAATACAGCTGTCCTGGGAGGAGCAGATTGGATTTTCTGGCCGTGGGAGAAGAGTCACCTATCAGGAATTCTGAAGGTGTGGGTGGCTCAGCCTTCCCGGGACGGAGGAGGAATTAGCGTGTGTCTTTCTGGCAGGGGAAAAAAGCACAGATTGTTCCATGTGCTCTGCCTATCGGTCCCAAATGAGGAAGATTTATTTTGTGCTTTTTCAGAAAGCGTGCATTCTTCCAGCAGGCTGGGGCGTTGTGGGGCGGAGGGAGGACTCCGAGTGCTGCCAAGGCTGCGGGCGGGTGTATGTGCTGGAGCTCGGTGCCTCTCGGTGCCCCACGTCTGTGTTAACTCCTGCTGTAACAGCGCTCTTCCGAGAGAGCCTGTTTGCTGTTCAGTAGCATAATTTGACACGAATGTTTAAATTAAAGTACCTTACCTTTTTCTAAGCTAGTCAGCTCTTCTAGTGTGAGCAAACAGAGACTTTGCCCAAAAGGAGAGGTTTGTGACTGGATTCAAAGTAGGGTCCCAACATCATGGGTTGGGGCAGGAATACAGTCTCTGTGGAGCTGTTTTCCTGTGTAAAGCAGTATTTTAGGCTCAGGTTTAGGCCTGATTTGGAACCAGAAGCTGCTCTCCCTAGAACGCGTCCCAGGCCAGGCCACAGGGTGGGTGGCAGTGGTGCGACACAGAGCGAATGGGGTTAATTCAGAGCGGGGAGAGGGGCGCTGTGCCGCGCTCCCGGCGGTGCCAAACCAGCGTCGGGAGGTCGGGGGTTCAGCCCCGGGGTCTGGAGCAGTCCGAGCACGTTGTGCAGCCTCGGCTCTGGTTACCCAAGTGTCCCAGCCCGTGTCTGTCAGCGTGGGCAGTCGCTGAGGATCGCAGCCCCCCACTCTTGCTGAAGGTTCTGGCCCGGCTCCCCAGCGCGGGCACTCGGTGACTGTCGGGTTGGAAAATCCACGTCACTGCAGTCCAGTGATCGCTTGGGCTAATTCTTAATGCAGAAAAGCTGAAGAGTGGGTTTTCTTTAGTGCTGACTGCCAGAAAGCTTCCTGGTCTGTTTGTTTAGTGTAGCGCTAACTGCCGGGTGAATCCTTCTGCAGGACGGGGTCTCTGATGGGAGAGGCTCGGCAGCAGGGCTGGTGCACGGCGGCCTGCCCCTGGAGAAGGACCTTGGATTCGGGGTGTTACTGGAGACCGTTGCAGAAGCAGCACAAGAACACTTAAGCCGTGATTATTTGGTTCAATAAATGTTTTCACTAGTTCCTTAACCCTGCAGCAGCCTCTGCTCGAGCTTCAGGCATCCAGTTGTGGCCAGTTGTAACTGAGCGTGTCCAAAAGGAGCTGTCAGGTGTCGGGGCCAGCTGGAACGGTTAATCGTCAGGGTTAAAATTTCATTGACAGTGGGTTCTGTGTGACTCAGATACCCAACCCTCCGCCTCTGATTTCCCTTTGCTTAGAGAATAGTTCCTTAGTCACAGGATACTTATGGAGATTATCAGGGTTCCTGAAAAACTGGAGCGTGTTGGCAAGGAGCCCTTCCTCCCACACGGAAAATCCTGCTCATCCCCGGGATTCCTCTGCAGGGAACTCTGCGTGTCTGCAGGAACAGGCAGCAGCAGATCAGAGCAGAAGCTGTTTTTCTGGACGTTTCCCTCTGAGCTCTGTCGGGAAATCACTTTTTTTTGCCAGCTGAAACAGCAGCATCTCTGGAGTTCGCTGCGATTCCTGATTTGGAAAAAAAAATAATTCAAGTCTGCCTTCTGGTGCTTCGTAAAAATACTTGTTAAACGGTGTTAAACTGCCCCGCAACTTGCTGTCGCTTGATTCCTTCAGAGACTTTGGTGTTTTAGTGGATCACGCAATGGAAAGTGTTTCTCATGAGGCTCGTGCAACACGGTGCTTGTTTTCACTGTGAATCATGGGATTATTTTTTTTCTTTCCCTATTTGGCTGTTGCTGACCACTGGACAGTTCTCTTAATTCTTTTTTTAAACTGGGTTTATTAGGGGAAGTAGGCAAACAAGGCTAAGTTAATGTTCAGCTGGAGACAACAGGCACAGCTCTAGCTCGGCAGTGGTCACGGGGATGAACCAACCGTCCTGAAGTAAATAAACAGAAGTAGCTGATGGAGGAAATCCGAGCGTCGCAGGGCGGAGGTTTGCTCTGGCTAAAACGAACTTCAGTAACGAGATTTTATCGGCAATGCTCCGTGCTCCCAGGTGCTTCTCCGTGTCACCCCCTGGGAGCCCTCTGTGTGCCCCTGGGGGTGGGATCGAGGTACCCGAGAGCTCTGCTCTGCCGCAGGAACATCAAACAAACGTGGGTTTGTGCCAGACGCGCTACATTATAGTATCACTTTGTGAAGCTTTATATTTTTCACAGTCAATAATCATACTTCTTAATGGAGTTCTCGCTCATTGCTGCCTTTGTCATGGACAGTTGCTCTTCCCTCTCTTGCAGGATTGAGTTCCAGAACAAGTTCTACACTGGCACCGGATTCAAGTTTCTCCCCTTCTCCTTTGACACCATCCGCGAGGGGAGGTTCGACGACTGACGGCGCCGCAGCCCAGGCACTGTCCAACGCCCCGTGTTTGTGACTAGTCCTCCCTCTCCCCTGTGTCCGAGTTGCATGTGGCCCTCCCGTAGTGGAAATAACTTATTGCAGCACCCTTGAGTGTTACCGTGGCTTTGACATTCTTGGGTAACGAGTGACACTGGATCAAAGACACTTTTTGTTCCTTAAGTTTACCACTGCAGATAGTAAGTGCATGAAGTTCCCGCGTTTGGTGTGTGATCGTGTATCCTCGTGTTGTGAATTCCCTGGCAGGCTGAGGGGGCCCTGTGGGAGATGCAGCTGTGGCTGAGGGGGCACACGAGCACGTGGAGAAAAGGTGCAACAACTTGAGCTTGCACAAAGCTGCGCAGGAAGAAGAGATTTATTTTTTTTTTCTTAAAGAAAGTTTTACACGTGCATCCTACGTGTGTCGGCCTCGGGTTGCGAGCAGTGAGTTGACAATCCAGGGTGTGCAAGAAGGGCTGTTCTGTTCCCCCTGGAGAAGAGACGCTCCGTTAACTGGGGAGGGGAGGCCCCGTGTCCCCCCGGGAGGCCCCTTGCCCCTCATTTCTGAGGGCAGGGGGGTGCAGGGGTTTGGCTGCTCCGCTGCAGCCTGGGGTGCCAGTGGCCCTTGGTCCTCGCAGGCAGCGGCACTTGGGTTTGTTTTCAAACGCAGCCCGGGGGGTGCAGAGCCCTCCAGGCGCAGCCCCGCAGCACCCGTGCGGCCCTGGGGGGGCCGAGGGCAGCTTTTGCCGGTTCCTCACGGGCGCTCGGGGCTAAGGAGCCCTTGGGGGGGGGGACAGAGGCCGAGTCTTGCCAAAACACCCGGAGGCAGCGGAGCCCCCGCGCCC